GCTCACATTATCCTGGAATCCCCTTTTAGAGCTGCAGTCCAGGAGGCAAGATCTGTAGCACAGAGACACCCTTTGCACGTTCAGTGGGCACCTACTATATGCCACTCCTTGTAAGATGTTGACCAGAAACACAAGATAGCACTGACCTAATTATACACAAACTGTGTAAAACTTATAAAAGTGAAACACTAGCTATAAAACAACAGATAGCCAAGATAATACCAAGAAAGGTACTGTTATGGATGAAAAACTGGTGGTCAACTTAAGGCCAGCTGAATTAAATCAGCAGGGTGCTGCATGTAGATGGTCCACCTGAGTCCCCAGCATAAATAAGAGACCTGGAGAAGAGCTGGGCACTGTGGGTTCTAAGTGTTGCTGTCTTAAGATGTTGGTTCTCCTGGAGAAACTCGTCATGACTAGCTTCCACACTCTGAGTTGACCTTTATCAATGAGGAGCTTGGGACCTTGTTGCTGACAGTGGCTGTGGTTCACTTGGGGCGAGCTCTGGTCCTTACATCAAGCATTGCTTCCTGGCTCTGGAGGGAAAGTTGTGTATTTAATCTCCAGAAGCTTGTCACACTGGCTTTGAGGCAGGTACTCAAATGTTCTTTTTGGAGGAGCTCAGGACCTCTGTGTCGCTGAGGACGGCTGTGGTACTGTATAGCACAGCCCTGGTCCTTGTTTTGAGCGTGACTTTTCGGCTCCAGCATAGAAACCTCAACCTACCAGCACAGCTCCTTCAGCCCGCAGGCACAGACTTTCTAGATTCCACCACTGACCCTTGGGCCTTTCCAGGGGAGATCCGTAAAACAGACTGGTGGGAGTCCTCATGGGCTCTAGACCTCCAGTTGCACTCATGGGAGGTGCTGTCATGGGCTCTAGATCTTCATCTGAACTCAAGTAGAACATTGTTGTACGATTCAGGTCCTTGGCTGACTATTCCATGTTTTCAGTGTTATGGACAGATTTCCTATATTTTGTTTTTAACACTGGGTGACAATAAAATAATATTAATTCTGTGTACTAATGTTAATTTTTCTCCTCACAACCTCTGACTAAACAGGTACTGTTAAGATTTTGATGATTATCATCAAAGGATCTTTTTCATCATTCTAGGCTCTTTTTCCCTATATATATGTAGTATATAATTCTTACAAGCAAACATCTTAAAAAGATTTTTGCCTATTGTGTTCTATTATACATTATTGAAAGTAGTTGTTGAGACTTCCGGGAGAACATGGCTGACAGATAGCAGATACTACGGAGGCTCTCTGAAAGGCTTGGTTCAGAAGTCAGAAATGGTGCAGACTAAGGAGACATAAGCCGGTGGAGATATGCTCTGCTGACTCAGGAACGAACTGGGCTGAGAGAAACCAACTTGGAATGCAGTCCTGGTGCTAAAACAGGAACAGAAAAGCTTCAGTGTGGAGGCTGGACCCCGCGCCATTGGAAGCTGCGATTTGGGTTTCCCGCTGCGCAGTGACTGCCTCTACAGCGGCTCGGCAAGGAGAGAGACGTGCAGAAGCTCTGAGAACAGGAGTCTGCAAACGGAGTCGAAAATAGGACAAGGCAGGGAGGCATACACTGACTTGTGGTGAGGTGAGTGAGAGAAACTGACACTCTACCACAGTTTGACTCCAGTGGAGGACTTTCTGGTCTCGGGCAGTCCTGCGGGAGCAGGGCGCGATGGCGACTCCAGCCACACGTTCCCCTCTCAGACGGGATTGGTGAAAAGTGCCTGGCCTGCGTGATGCTGCTGGCAGACTCAGTAGGCAGGCCCAACCCAGATCGCAGAGCCTGACGGTGGCCCGGAGGGGCAACTCCCACATAGGCTGCCTAGTCCGTTAACTCCCTGGTGCGCTGCGGTGGGCGGAACACCTAGCCAGCACAATTCGATCAGGCTGTGGCAGAAAGGGAGGGAAGCTGGGCCTCCTATGTAATCTTGCATAGATAAGGAACAGAGAATATGGGAAAAGGCAGCAACAAGAAAGGCTCCTCGGCCCCCAATTCTGAGAAACGGGCAATAGCGGACACTGCACCAACAGACATTAAGCGCCATATAGAGAGCCTCATAGACCAATTCAGGAATGAAGTTATCAACGACCTGAAGCTAGAAGTATGCAAAATAGTTAGAGAAATGCTAAGCACCACCCAGGAAAAAACAGATGGTGGAATGGAAGAACAGAAAAAGAGGGGAGAATTGTTTGATGGAGAAAACAGAGAAAGCATAGAATACGTGAAGCAGGTTCAAAGGGACTACCAAGAAATTAAGAAGTCTATCCAAGACTGGCATAACAGCTTGAAAGAAACTAAGGACAGACTATCTGAACTGGAGGCCAGACTTGTAATATAGGAGAATGAAATGAAAAACTTCTTAAAAATAACAAAGAAACAAACAGCAATAATACAAAGACAAGAAGATGATAAGAGGAGCCATAACTTAAGGATTAAGAACATAAAAGAAGAAGTAGGGACACAAGTGAACTACAAAAGCTACTCACAGAAATAATCCAGGAGAATTTTCCTAATTTAGCAAAAGGTAAAGATACTCAGATGTATGAGGTATACAGGACCCCAGCTACCTACAACCCAAACAGAGCAACACCCAGGCATATAATAATAAAAATTCCAGAAATTGAATACAAAAACAGAATATTAAAAGCTGTCAGAGACAAGAAACAGACCACTTACAAGGGAACACCCATCAGAATTACAGCAGGTTTCTCTGCACAAACCACCAAATCACAAAGAGCGTGGGGGGAAATAATTCAAGCTTTGAAAGATAATAATCGCCAGCCAAGATTGAGATATCCTGCACAACTGTCCCTGGAAATTGATGGAAAAACGAGGTGCTTCCAGGATAAAGAGGAACTGGGGGAATTTGCAACCACCAATTCAACTCTACAGAAAGTATTGCAGGGTATTCTAAAAAAAGAAAAATACAAAGAACCCAGAAATAGTGGCGGGGAGGCCACAACGAATGGAGCACAGAACAAAATGAAGAAGACAAACTGACAGCTACTGACAGAAAAAGAGCTCAACAGAAATGAGACAGAGAAGATTGGATGATAGGAACAGCTATTTTGGAGAAAATGACATCTTAATAGGTAATACTGATTTAGTATCATCTTGTTTTGAAGTCTCATCTAGCTTTTGTTCTTCTGTCTCCAATGGTCTAAATAGGTTGTATCTTATTGGATTTTATTATGTACGATAGTATAAGCAAAAATCTTAAAGACAAGGAGATTATACAGAAACCATTGTTCATTTTTGTTAGTTCGATTCTAAATACTCTGTAATGCTGTCATTCTCTCAAATGGTTTTACATTGTTTTGATATACTTAATGCTACAGTATACGAAGTATACTGGACTTCAAGGACTTCAAGGAAAGAGTCTATATGGTAACTACTTTTGGGTCGGAATTATCTGGTGGTGAAACACTATTCTGCTTAAATGGTTATGTTTTGATCTCCGCTGTTTCGCTGTTATGCCCTCTTTTATCTCAATCTCCACTCCATTATTTTTTTTATTTTTATCCATTTAATTAAAGGGAAAAAATAGCACGATATATTATAGTAACCCACTTTGACTTTCTATTATTTCGATTTGAAGCCCTGTATTACACTCACCATCTTGTTTTTGACTGATGTTCCCCTATTCTGTTTTGCTGGATAGTATCAGGTTCAAAACTTTAGGCATCAGCTGTGAAGATAATGAGATTCATTATAACGCCCATTCTCGTTGACTTTTATCTACTTTTGAAGACCTACAAGGTCTCCAATGGTTTGGTTTTGCCGGTTTTATTCTTTACTGTTTTGTTCAATTGTATTACAACTAATGATACAGGCAATTCTATTAGAGATAGCGGGAGGCATTATGGTAACCACTGTTGATCACCTTGTATTATGTTTTTACATTATCTATTGTGTCCACCCTTTTGACTTGACCGATTCTGTTCTGTTATGTCACATTTGGTTTTACTCTCTTCCAAAAAAGCAGTAAGAACCATGGGAGCAATGAAACCCAAAATGTGTAATAGTCATTGTACAAAAGAGAGGAAAAGAAAGTGCTCTAAACTATATAACTGCATGTATATTTAAGTGTATAAGATAGAAAATGATATCACAGAGTTTTATTGGATCATTGAACAGAACTGTTTGCAGTATCATTGTTGGAATGTCCACTCTACAAGCTTTAATTTTGTGACTTGAACAATTATTTCTAAGATGGCAATATGTAATCCATTAACTAGTGATTTCCTACTGTTCATTTTTTTTTCTGTAAATCTGTATAACTTGAAAAAAAAAAAGAAAGTAGTTGTTAATGTAAGGCAGTATAATTCAATTTATACAATATTTGAATTTGCATATTAATTGTAATGTTACTATGGTATTCTACACAGGACTAATAATTTTAAAAATTTTAATGAAAAAAAGAAAAAGAAAACAGAAAATTACCAATTCTTTAACAATTTAATCAGTAAGAATTTTAAAAAGTTAATTACTGAGGATTGAATTCTTGATCTTGAGCTTAACAGGCAGCCACTTATGACACTTAGCTAAATTCCCGGCCCTTAATTGCTAAGACTTAGTGATACAGTTTTCCAAAGCTCAGAGACAAGAGGCTAACAGGGCTTACAGATGGACTTTTGTAGCACAGTAGGATCACTTACCAGGCAATCTACCATACAAAAATCACTTCTCATTGCTACCTATGAAAGAAAGGGATGTCTATGTGCTTCAAGGTCAGTTCATTTTTTTACATGTTACTATTTATTGATCTGAATTTTTAAAGCTACAGGATCAAATCTGATGTTACCAGAGAAAACTGAATTTTCAATGTACTCACTCACTGACATATTACTGATAACCTTTAACTTAACTGCCAACTTAAACCTGTTAGGATGTTTTACAGCTGATAGGATGTGAAATATGCAAATCAACCCTACTGCACAAGAAAATCCATTTCAAATATCAAGACTCAAAAGAACAGACGCATGTATATTTTATCATTTTATTAGGAACAATTCAAAATTGGTTATGAAGAAAAATTACTGAGTCTGATGAGGCTTCCAAAAACTCTTGATGCAGATATGTTCATCAATAAACAATAAAACATCAGCAGAACCATTATCTACTGGGCAGAGTCACCAGCAGAACTATTATCTACTGGGCTGATACCAAAAGCAACATGCAATAAAAAAGATAATAATATAAAGGAAAGACAATCTGCTGACTATTAAAAAAACCACCTCCATATTCTGTGTTGCCACCAGCACAGAATCAGCCATCAAATCCAAACCACACCAAGGTAAGTCTGACTGAGGGAAGCCAGAGTTGATAAAGGGGGGAAGAAATAAGCTCCTCAGTGCAAGAGAGCGGAATAGTGTTTTGGAGTGTTTCCCTGGCAAGTACAAGCAATATTAGAAAATCTTTTTGGCAGGGACAGAAATAAATATAAATGGAATGCTACATTTTTAAATCAGCAGACTGTCCCAGGAATGATAAAGGAATCAGTAAAGTAGCAAAGAGATAACTTTTAAAACATTATTTGTTGTGGGCTCAAAACACATTCAAAATGATTTAAGGTGACACAATGGCTATGTCTAGGCATTTAGGCTTAGAAGTAAAGTTAAGAGAGGATACTTTTTCCCCAAGGAAAATTTTTTTAAAACCAAGCATATATTGCTAAACAGCAACATTGGACTTGGTAAACAGTAATTGGCAACAAAGTAAGTTTAAACGCTGTAATATTCTGTCCAAGCCAGTCCCAGATACTCTCCAATAACCAAAATGCAAACTACTTTTGTTGTAACAAGCCTAGACCAATTCTATCAAACGTGTCCTTGGTGAGATACCCAGTTTCATTTAACGTTTGGAAAGCTCATTTGACAGCCAGTCCAGTCCTTCATACAGACCCGTTCCTTGTGTAGCACAAGTAGCTTGAACGTACCACTGTGAAGAAAAAGAACAGAAAATACTTCATTGACAGGAGCACATACCACCAGTATTTAAACTTCCTTAATCAAAAATTAAATATTTCTCCCAACAAACAGACAGTTTAAGACGGAAATAAAATTGTATTACACTGTAGACATACCTGTGAACAAATGTTATTACCTTTCATGCACATATGCTTCTCGTTATGTTCAATGACTTTGGCAGTAGTAAAGTTTACCTAAAAATACCCTTTAGACTGGAAACTTTGTTATACTTCTTGCTTTTTCACAAAACCTACCCCTAGGGGCTGGGGGTTTAGCTCAGCGGCATAAGTGCCTGCCTTGAAAGCAGGCAGTCGTGAGTTCCATCCCCAGTACCGATAAAAAGGAAAAAGACAAAAAAAAAAAAAAAAAAAAAAAAAATTACCCCCATGTAAAACTATGCCTCCCTATTAGATTTAGCCATTTTCACACCATTTATTATGAGAAGAGGAAACTTAAAACTACTAAATAATTCATCTTGGTCCATATCATCCTGTTACTCCCCATCAACCTAAATAGAAGAGGTGATTTTCTTCCTTTCAGTGCTGCCGATTCAACCCAGGGTTTAGAACATTGTACTGCTCTACAAATGAGCCAATCTGCAGCCCAGAAAGGACAAACTTTAAAAGGGCAGGCTTTGCAGACTTTGAAGGATGTAGCTCAGTGGAAAAATGATTGTGTAGTAGCATAGGCACAGTCTTAGTTTCATCCCTAGCACTGCAAAGCAACAAAACAAAACAAAACCCACAACAAAACATTAGAGCTTTGGACATTTTGAGACAAAAATTTCAGATAACGCCACTGTCTTTCTCTCATACATTCCAAGAAACGGTTCTCCCATTTTACAGGGCAGTAAATCTTACTTACAAAAGACTTAGTGAAATGCAGTGAAACGTTTTCAGTAGCAAGACAAAACACCTAAAATGTAATATAACTATCATTCTAGTCTATTTTGGTTACTTTTAACTGATCAGTTTTATTTCATATTGGAATAAAAACCTCACTTCAATGCTGGAGGATCACTGAACATCAACATGCCAATTAGTATTTCACTACCGAATACTCAAGTACACCACTAGGCTGGGGAAAGGCATGAATCAGTACTCTCCCAGCATGGAACACTTGTATCACTTGCATTTTATCATGGTTTCACTCAACCCTGAATATCTCAAACAGACAAAGAGGCAAGTATGGTGGAGAACACCCCTAATCCTAGCACAAGATCACTGAGCTTTCAGACCAGCCCATGTTACATGAAAGAGTTCAAGGTGAGCATGAACAATGAAGCAAGACCCTTTCTCAAAACACAACACAAATGGCCGTGTTGTGTGTAATAGTACCTGTCATGCTGACAAGTGAATGCACAACTACTGTAAATATAGCTAGTAGTTTGTGAAGTCATCTTGGTACACACAACAATTACTAACTTTTGCCCATAAGTTCATCACTGATGTCATGCAATGAGCTATGCGATAGCAAATCTATCTAATAATCTTATTGTTATGGTTTATGTTTGGATGTTCCCCCCAAACATAACTCCCTCCTAGTCACAAAGGAGGCTGAATCTAGCATTTTTGATTGGTTTCACAGGCTAGTGCTGGGACTGGCATTGTGAGCGCAGCACCCACCCAGGGGTGGGTAGGAAGCTTCAATACAAGGGAGAGAAACATGTGTTTCCACTTTTACCCTTTGTCTCCTACTGTTTCTGGTATCTGTGGCAGTTTCGGTGAACTGCTGCCCCTCAGCCTCACCCCTCTGCCTTGGAGTCAGCTGATTACAGACTGAAACTTCCACTGTGAGCTAAATAAACCTTTCTTTGCTTCACTTTGGGAGTCATGTATTTTGTCTCAGCAATGAGAGAAAAGTAACCAAGACAGAATTTGGTACCAGGAGTGGTGCCACTGCTGTGACTCTACCTCCTCATGTGGTTCAAGAGCCTTTGGAAATAGCTTGTGGGAAGTCTGGAAAGGTTCGCAGATGTCACCTGAAGCACAGGGCTACAACACCTTAGGCTATTCTGTGTGGGAGATTCTGGATAGAGCTGAGAAGACAAGAAAATCAGTAAAGACCAGGCTTGGGAGCTTTCTCCTGGGAGGAAGGACTACACTAGTTATTGGACTGCATATGATGTGTGTGTTATAACTTGGCAGAAAGTTTGTCTGTATTTTGCACGTGTCCAGGGAATTTGCCTGAGAATGAGATTCAGGGTGGCAGATTGGGACAGTAGATTCATCTCAGTGCCACAAGTGCCTGCCCAGCAAGCATGAGGTCTTGAGTTTGATTCCTGATCAAAAAAAAAAACAAAAAAAAAAAAAAAAAAAAAAAACCTGGCAGATTTATTAATGTGGCAAAAGAAAAGTCAAGGCAGTTGAATTTTGAGGCTGTGGCATGCCTTAAGGTTAGGGTTATTATTGGGGGCTTTTAGCCAGACTTATGTTGCAAATCAAGAGCGAAGAGAGCTCAACAGGATGGTTTCAAACACTGTGAGTTTGTCAAGAAAGAAAGGTCCAGCAAAGTTGTGGACTGTAATGACAGAACTGAGAAGGAACTGCTGAGAAGAAACAGAAAAGAAAAGATGGGTGGGGCATCATAGGAAGCAGCAGGTCTCCACCCTTTGCAGGCTCAAAACCTCAAAACTGAAAGAGTTTGCTGTGAGGAGAAAGCCCCAGAATGCCATGTTCCAGGATGGCAATGTCACAGAAAATCTGTCCTCATTATCAGGTTCAGAGAGCTCAGCGACTCAGCCACTCGACCCCTACAGCCAGGACAGCAAGGCATCATGCACATGGTGCTTGTTTCAAGTGCATACAGTATGCAAGAGTTCCGAGGTTAAAAAAGGATCCACCCTGATTTCAGAAGTCCTGGGAGGCCAGGCAGTGCACTCCTGAGAGGGCAGTGTGTGAAGAGCTAAGTGTGAAGTGCACAGTTCCATGGAGACCCTAGAACTCTGGAAAAGCCAGGAACATGGATCATCTAAGGAAAGCTTCAAGGAGAGGGCAAGAGGACCCAAGAGAGAAGCTGTGGGAGTTACAACCACCAGAAGTGCCACAGGGTTGGAGTCACCCAAGCCCGTTAGAGCTCACAATTTGCCAGTGATTACCTCAAATGGTGCACATGGAACTTGCAGGTCTTAATGGCTGCCCTGCTAGATTTGGTCCCATTCCTTTGTATCTCAGGTTGTACCTCTTGGAATGGTAGTGCTTGTCTTGTGCCATTCAATGTTGGAAGTGTTCAACTTCGTTTTTATTTGCTCTGGGGCTCACAGTTAAGAGTGTATAATATGTCAGAGGAGACTTGGAACTTGGACTTTTCAGCACTGCTCAAACTGTTAGGATGCTGGCAACTCTTGGAGATGGACTAAATGTCTTTTTGCATAAAGGATGTGCACGAGTCTTTGGGGGGCCAGGGTGGAATGTTATGGTTTGTGTTTGGAAGAGCCCAAAGGCTCATGCATTCATAAAGGCTACTGGATCTAGCATTCCTGATTGGTCCATACTCTCACCCTGGATTGGCGGTGTGAGTGCTGCACCCACTTAGGGGTGGGTAGCCAGCATACATATAAGGGAAGAAGAGAGACATGCTTTCCTCTTTTTTGCCCTTTTTGCTCTTATTGCTTGCAGTTGACAAGAAGGGTTGCCCCCAAGCAACACCACCTAGCCACAGAACCAACTGAGGATAGACTTAAACCTTCAAAAACTATAAGCTAAATAAATTTTTTATCCCCTCATTTTGGGTGCCAGGTATTTTGTCTCAGCAACTAGAGAAAAGTAAGCAATACACTTATATTCAAAACTCCTTCAAAACTTATCAACATTAAAGTTCATTAATAAACGTCTGATAGTGTGACATGGTAAATAGTGATTTATTTACATCAGTGTTCTTCACATATTCCAGCTGTCTTCCACTGATTTCTCACATATTTAAATATTAAAGTTTTTAAATATTTAAAATATTAAAGTTGAGACAACAATGGCCACACCAGCAAACAACCCCATTCTGGGAATCAGTACCATGCACAGGCCACCGCTATACTAGAAACAGCTAGACCCAACCGTGTGAGTCGGCGCCATTCCTAGAGCTTGGGGAGCGAGAACAATGCTGTGCCAGCAAACAGGCCCAGTGCCATGTGTGGGCCAGCACTGGACTGGAAATGGCTATACCCCCACCCTTCTGGTATGCAGAGTGGCAAAAAAGAAGTACTAATCCTTCCCCATACACCATGGAAGTGACTGGCTTTTCCAGAGAAACAGGCTGTGATAACTACTGAGGTAAAGTGCAGTTAGTTAGATGCCTGTGGTGCTTTGGAGCTTCACTAATATTGCAGGTCTAGGGACACTGCAATGTGTAATCTACGGTGATTACCTTCTAAGGGCTACAGCTATTATTGACGCCCAATGGTCTTGTACTGAGATCCTAAACTGTCCATTGTTTTGTAGGGCTGGATTTTATCTTTTGTCTTTTGGGGTTTTTTTTGATTATGTTAAATCTGATGGCAGCAGAGACTATCTCAAGGGTAGCAAGATATATTATGGTAGTCATTTTAGATTTTGTACTGGCTTGCTTGAAATCCTTTACTGCATTCATTCTTTCATTTATATTGCTCCTATTCTGTTTGATTTTTACTGTGTCCAAAGTTATCTGTAGCTGTTTTAAAGACATCAAAAGCTACTATGGTAACTATTATTGATTTCATAACGTTTTGAAGTCCTTTATCTCTCACACTGGTTTGTTTTGAATGGTTTTATTGTTTTATTCTCTTTAAAATAAAAACAACTTAAACTTAACAAAAACCTAAGTAAATAAATAAAGGCATTTAAACTTCGAATCCTTAAAAATTATATTACAAATTAGAAAATGAGCCATGCATGAAGTGCCCGGATTTAGTCTGGAGACTGAGGCAAGAGGACTGTCACAAATTTTAGACCTACTGGGCTACATGGGGAGTACAGGGTCAGCTTATAGAGAACTATATAGAGACTCTGTATCAAAAACGCAAAAATAAGCAAACAAACAAACAAAAAATCTGAAAGAAAAGACAATGAAAATGCATCTGTACACCTTATAATAGTGAATGGAATGTTGTAAAGCAAAGTCTGGCACACTGCAAAGGTTTCAAATATTAAAAAGCTGATTTTTATATACAGAAGAGTAGTTAATAACACCATCTTATAATGATGTGCTTACTGCTCAAAACGAGTAACTATTAAATGTTACACTGAATATAATTATTCAAATCATTATGCTTCTTACCCTGATACTTGTAACCTCAGACATCAACATCAACCTCCCAATACTTACTGTTCTGTTACGAAGAGACTGAAGACCCAGTTTATCTGTCATTTCACTGATGGCCATAGCATTTGGCAAATCCTGTTTGTTCGCAAAAAGCAGCAGCACTGCATCTTGCAGCTCATCTTCCTGAAGCTGAAAATAAAAGTTCAGGCATTAACAGCTACTAAACTGCAATCAATTAGTGTTAACTCCTCAAAACACTGCCTTTCTGTATTTTACATACATTTCATTCAACATTCCATTCACTGTTATAAGAGAATGAACCTCAGAAACTCATACTAAGACAAAGATGCTGGTTACTAAAGAACACATATGACATGATTCCATTGAAACACATATCCAGAGTAAGCGCCTGCATAAAAACACAAAGTACATTAGTGGTGTCAGGGATGCGGTGCAAAGGAAAAGAGGGGAAGAGAATGGGGAGTGGCTCCTTGGTAATTCTCACACAGTCTTGTTTTATTTATTTATTTATTGGAAATGGGGAATCGAATTCAGGACACTGTGCCTGCCAGGAAGGTGCTTCTTCAAAGAGTTACAGAGCACGATAAAAGTCACTGATTTTTATATTATGAGTGAAATTCATGGCACATGGTATCTTAATATGTGTTTACAAAACAACGTAAATTGGGGGCAGTTGACAAAAAGCCATCATTGACTGAGTCACCAACATAAGCAAAATCATTTTGTTTATAAACCACATGCTTCTTCAAGTCAGGTGAACAATGAATGGGGCAATTTCATCACAGTAAATATTTTTTAATGGCTGTAGGCTTAAACCTGTAATAGGGTTCCCCCACCAATTTTCTCCCTTCAGGGGTCTGAACACCATGAACACAGGAAATTGCTAACGTGATAATTGGCAAGGCTTACATGTCACCATCAGCCCAAATCACCCTTATTTTCAGGCAAAAGAACTCTACCACGGTTGTTACTACTACATATTTCTGAAGCAATTATAGGCAAAGCACACAGATAACTGAACTCGACAAGCTCGAGGAAAAGACATTTCAACCAGGATCCCTAACTCAGAACTGAGTACAGTACAGGAAATTTTATATCTCTAAACTATGAGACAGGACTAAATCAGACATCCTCAACCAGACACACACGTCAAAACCAGTCATAGACCACTCTAAAACAACCTACACCTTCTTGACCTACCCATGTACCTACGCTTCTGCTTTTAACGGCTCTCTTTACAGAGGTTAGAGATGTAGCTCAGTGCCAGAGTGCACACTTAGCAAACTCAAGACCCCGAGTCCAAGCTCTGCACAAGATTAGTAAATAAATAGCTCTACAGGAGATTTTTGTATGCATTCTTATGGACCTGTGAACAACATTCTGGCCCTGAGTTTCTTGGTACCTCCAAAAAACCTGACACCACCATCACCAAGTAACACACATCTTGAAAACGACTAAATGCAAAGTACATGCTTACCATACTCTGCAGTACGTTTGCTCCTTCTTGAATTCTTTCACGGTCGTTGCTATCTACCACAAAAATAAGACCCTGGGGAAAAATTGTTTCAACACATTATAACACTTATAAATTATAGCAATTAAACTTAAGGTGCACAACAGATATAAAACATATATACCAGAAGGGTAAAGGGTTAGGCACTAGGAAATGAAAATTTCTCATCAGAAGCAAAGCCAGGACTTCAGTACTGAACACAAATTGGATGCTGTTTGGGATCATTTTTATAGGCTACATTAAGCATCCGAATTTGCTATTCCTATTCTTTTCCCTAGCACACTGAAGCACAGGAAGCAAAAGAGTGAGGATACATAGTGAGGATACAAGAGAAAATAAACTAAAGACCCTCAAGAATCACGAACTGATTTCAATTGCTTACTACAAGGCATGTACAAACTGTGAAAAGACAAGGGTGAAGGATAGAGGGACAGGATGCATCAAGGTGCTTTCTACATAAACAGTGCTAACTATATAGGTTTCTCTCATTGTGGGACACAGACAGACATACCAAAAAAAGGAAAGAAAACACTCAACTTTGGTACAGAATGCTACTAAGGCATAGGTTTAAGCTAAATATCATGGTAACTCCCAAGTCTGCTTGATTAAGTAAAAATTTTAAGAGAAAAGAAAGTAGTAACAATTATTAAAAGTAGTCCACTGGGGCCTGGGGGTTTAGCTCAGCGGCATAAGCACCTGCCTTGTAAGCAGGGAGTCGTGAGTTCAATCCCGGTACCAATAAAAAGAAAAAAGACAAAACAAAAAAAACGTATTCCACTACTACAATTCTACAGTAGTTGAACTATTTACTTTTCTAAAATCTTTCAACTCGAGGCCGGGCATTTAGCTCAGGAGCCAAGTGCCTGCTTAGCAAGCTTAAGGTCTTAGCAAGCTCAAGCTCTTTTGGCTTTTTAGAGAGTAAAAGTATGTATCGCTTTCTTTCTCTGAGAGATTGATTCCTGGCACCAAAATAAATCCATAAATAAATAAAAATAAAATAAAATCTCAGTCTTTCCTAGGTGGGGGAGGGGGGGGTACCTTCTCACTGTAATCCCAGAACCCAGCAGGCTGAAGCAAAAGCATCACCGCTACATAGTGAGTTCAAAAGCTGCCTGAAATATATACAAAGAGTGTGTCTCAAAAACACTTAAAGAAAAAAAGGAGAAAGAAAAGAAATGTAACTTAAATGTATATAAAGAGTGAGCTTTAATGTAAAAAAAAAAAAATCAACTTTAGTGGTAAACGGAAACTGATGAGCAAACCCTCATGCAGTGGAAAAAGACAACAGGACTAGGACCAGGTTAGAGAAGGAACTCTCTGACCTTGAACTCATTCTAAACTAGAACACTGGGTCTCAGCAGGATGAAATATTGCCCCTCAGGCATACTTTGCAAGCCTAGAGATGTTTCTGGTTGTCACAAATAGTTTGTGAGAAGCTGCCACAGATACCTAGGTGGGCAGATGACAAAAATGTGACTAAACCTATAATACAAGAAGACCTACCTGCCTTACAGCTCAAAAACATCAACAGTGCAGTGAAGCGCCTCAAAGATCCCTACCAGCAACAGCAGCAGTGCTTGTAACCTTGCCAGAAACACAGAATCTCAGGCCCTAGGTTAGGCCCAGTGTATGTTTTTGTTTTGTTTTAGTCCCGGGACCTGGACTCAGGACTTTGTGCTTTCCAGGCAGGTCCTTATGCCGCTGAGGTATACCCCTGTCCCTGGACCCTGTTAAAGCAGTAGGGGTTTTGCACAAACATCGAGGTGATTTCTACATACATGAAGTTGACAAATACTCATGGTGCATGGCTCACATGCTCAAGAGAGTTTGACTGAAGTGCTCTTGGGCTATGACTGGGGCTTGGGGAGGACAGCTGTTTAAAGTTCCCCAGGAAGTTCGGTGTTTTTTGTTGTTGTTGTTGGGTTTTCTGGGGTATTGACAGTTGAACTCAGGACCTTGTGCTTGCCAGGCATGCACCTGTTCCACTGAACTATATGCCAGCCCATCCCAAATGGTGATTCTAACATCCTTCAAATTTGAGAACCCCTAATCTTCAGAACCCCTGAAAGTCTGTTCCACGCCAGAATACGTATACCACACAAAAACATGAAAATATATCTTAAAAGTCAACACAGCAGACCTATCTTTATCATTTTCAATAAACACAACAAAGTTACAAGGAGGTCTATCATTCTCTTACATTCATTACAAACTACTATGAAGAAAGCGATACATACTTTTACTCTCTAAAAAGCCAAAACAACTACATCACAGCACTGCCACCTCATCTTTGAAAATCTTACCAAAATGGCTAGGCAACTCTTCCACAGTAACTAATTTAGCTCTCACAGGTGTGGCCGAGAGTGTACTATCCAATACAGAGCAGTAATAAGGAGAATTCAATGCGTACAGTAAACGCCAACACCCAAGCAAACACAGAGTCAAATAAATTCGGAGACTGACTGAAAGCAGAAAGAAAACTTTTAAAAACTTAAGAGCATTCCTCACCTGGGTATTCTGGAAGTAATGCCTCCAGAGAGGCCTAATTTTATCTTGACCACCAACGTCCCACACCGTGAAACAAATGTTCTTATATTCTACTGTTTCGACATTAAAACCTACAAGGAAAGACAAAAAAATGATTATATGCACATCATGCATTACTGAAATCATCAATTCCTTCAATCTCCATACAGTAGCTTTCTTACAGTGCCAATAAGATAATCGGCAATCTTTACAAAGCACTAATTATACGATAAATTAAATTCATCCATAAGCTTTCTTACCAATGGTAGGAATGGTGGTGACTATCTCCCCTAACTTGAGTTTATATAGGATGGTCGTCTTGCCAGCAGCATCCAATCCAACTGGAAGAAGACATTATATATTTACAATTTGGATTAAAAACACAGGCAGAGATCATATTAAAGAAAGTTATAAAGTAAAAATTGTGATGAGGTGTGGTGATGGATCTCTGTAATCTCAAGACTCAGGACCCGGAGGCAGGAGGATTGTTAGAGGAGTTCAAGGCCAGCCTCCCCTAGGTACATAGTGAGTTCCAGTCAGCCTGAAATGCATAAGGAGACTGTCTCAAAACACCAGAAAAAAAGAGAGAGAGAGAGAGAAGAAAAGGAGGAATGTTCTTGTTTGTGGGGAGAAATGCAAGGTTAGACGTAGCATATGTCTGTAATGCAAGCACTGTGGGAAGCTGAGGCAGAAAGAACAGAAACACAAGCAAAGCAACTTAGCTAAACCCTGTCTCACAACGTAAAAAATAAAAGAGTTGGTGACAATTCATGCGACAGACCTGGGTTCAATTCCCACTACTACAGGAAGGAAAGATGGAAGGAAACCAGGGAGGGAGGCAGAGAAAAGGGAGAGAAGAGGCAGGGAGTAAACCTTAGTCTTGTGGTAGAGAAGGGCAACATGATTGCCTTTATATACAAGTACCTCAAAACCTATACATTCTTCACTGTTTCTAAAAGCCACCTAAGGGGAAGAGCCTCATTATCACATCTAATCTGTTTGACCAATTTCTGAAATCAACTGAGTTGAGTATTATTTAAGCAAGGACACCTTCATAGTTAAATTAAAGCACGACTTAGCACAGGAAAGCAATGCTAGTAAGTTAAATGAAATGAAATAATCTCCTTTATCTAGTTTATTTTCCCATTCAAGATGAATTTAACTTCTATCAGGTTCTGTCCAAAACAGCACTTGCCCTGTAGTTAATTCAGACTTCTTCCACCTGTATCACAAAACAAAGGATATTTTCTATTCTGTTTCCTGTCAAAGGGTGGCTTAAAGATTTATCGGAAGACTCAAAGTTCCTTAAGTTTTCTTATTCTGATGCTCTCTAAGCAAACCTTTTTCTTCCACTTCTTTGTACTGAGATTCTAGGTGTATTCTTTTCACAGTACTATAACACATAAGATAGCGTTTCATTCATGGGTATAAGAAAGGCAGCTGTCACACACTGATTTATTTTTTGCATATGAAATAGTACCAAAAGATAAGCATCCTTGTCCACAAAAACAAGAAAAACAAAAGCCCCCAAATAACCAGAAAACAACTAGAAAGAAATATACAACGTAGTTACTTTAAAAAAAATTTAAATACAGCAAAGACAAAATCAACAGTTTATTTTGGGGGAGGTGTGTCTTTTTGACTGCAGGGTCTCACTATGCAGTTAATGCTGGCTCTGAGCTCACTCTGTAGCTCAAGCTGGTCTTGAACTTGCAACAATTCTCCTGCCTCAACCTCCTGAGTATTGGAATTACAGATGTCAACAAGAACTTTTAATTTTCTTAGCCAGTTGTGGTGGCTCACGCCTACAATCCCAAGATTTGGGAGGTTGAGGCAGGAGGATCACTCCAAATTTGAGACCAGCCTGCTTTACAAAATGAGGGAACTGCATGGCAAGACCCTATCTCAAAAGGATAAAGAAAAAGAAAGAAAGAAAAAAAAAAACCTTTTAATTTATAAAGCTATGCCTAATGAGCATCTAAGATCTCTTTAGGTAATCTTAACCAAATTTCTAAGAAATCTAAATTTCACTCATCTCAAAATATAATTATTCTAAGTCAGAACTGACACTAAGATACTAATGGGAAGAGGAACAAAAATGAAACTATTCTAGTGAGATTTTCAGAACCCATCAATCCTGACTAGGTCCAAATGGACCTCATACCTCCATTTTAAAACACCATGAACTCAAAAATACTGACAAAGAATGGAAGAAGACAGTCACAGTGGCACACACCTATAATCAAGAACACTCTGGGAAGCTGAGGCAGGTGGTCTGCAATATTAAGCCCAGCCTGGGCAAATGAAAAATTAAATTCAAAAGAACTGGGGATACAACTCAGTGCCAAGGCCCCAGGTTCAATATTCAGTACCAAAAAGAAAAATTGTAGAAAAGAACATAGATAACCCAATTTGTGTTTTATTTTCAATGAGCTTTATACTGCTTGTCTGCCTCCGTCTCCCTTCAGCTGCTAGGGATCAAACACAGAGCCTTCAACACTAGCTGAGTGTTCTCTACACCAAGCCATGCCCACACGTCTTCACGCATACTTCCTAGTCTCTTCTACCTCTCCACTGTTAATGTTCTTACTCCAATAAATACGTAATGTATAGTCTGTTACTCAAAGACAATCTCCCAATTTTGTATCCCTTTAATCATTCAAATATTGTTGAAATACTCAGCAATGAGATTTTCCACATAATGAAACTATAACCAATTTTCAACTAGCCAAGATAACACTAATCTGTATAGTTCAATAATATTCTCCCTCCTCTCCACTACCATAAATATAGCACTGTATTAAAATACACTGATTCCTTACTTGTTCTCTTTCCATACACCTGCATTCGATCAAACTGTTAACACAGTAAGTAAAAGTACCTCACCGATTTTTGTCAATCATTAAAAAGTGTTATCAAATAATGGCAACGAGGAACACTTACAAGTTGAACAGTTGGATACAATTATTTCAACTTTGGGGGGAAAATAACTGCACAAAAGAAAAAGTATACTTTCAGATGTGTAACTTTTTTTTTTCATGGATTCATCTTCGAATTCTCTAAAAGTTTAAAATATAGCCTCATGCTTTTTAAGTAACTGAAAATTAAATGCTTCTTGTCTACCCAGAACAATACTAGGTGATTCCATATAGTTTTGAAATTCTCTTCCATTTAACTTCTGATTTCTTAGACGATAAACCTAAAATTCAAAAATGTCCCAAAAATTACAAATGAAGAACAGGTATTCAAAAGCTATCTTATAGAGAAAGCAGAACCCTCATACATAGCTAATGAGGATGTAAAATGCTATAGCTATTTTGGAAAGTTTATCTGAGTCTCAAAACCTTAAACACAGTTACCGGATGATCCAATCATTCTGCCCTGAGGTGTTTATCCAAAAATATACAAAACGGGGCTAGGGATTTAGCTCAGTGGCATAAGCGCCTGCCTTGCAAGCAGGCAGTCCTGAGTTCGATCCCTGGTACCGATAAAAAAAAGAAAAAGACAAAAAATATATACATATACAAAACAAACCCCCCCAAAATAAAAAAATGCCCACCAAAATTTTGTTTACAAATATTCATAGTGTCACTTATGAAAGCCAATAAATTCGCAACTCGCGCAGCTCCATAATCCTCGCTCACAAAAGTGCTGCGTGCAGACTATTTACACGAAGGGGAAAGGGGGAGGAGAAAGGCTGAAATCCCTCGATTTCCCTCCCTCCCGACGCCCACACCCAGAGAAGCAGGGTGAGGATCGCCCCCTGAGCATGGAACCCACCAGCGTTCGCTTTCAGAGCTTTTTCCCCACTCCGCCTAGTTGTTGTCCGGCTTTCAATTTTATCAAGAAAGCAAGCCAAGCTCAGCAAGAGGAAACCTCGCCTGAGGTTCTCAACAGGCCTCTTCGGGTGACAGAGCTCAGGCGACCACTACTCCTTCGCCCCGCGGTTCCCCGCTCCCCTCCGGGTCTTCCCGACCCCCGCCCGTCAATTGCAGTCGCGGCCCGCGGAGGAAACAGCTCCCAGGCGGTCCCAGGAGCAGACTCGCCCCCCACCCCACCGGGGTCTGGCCTCCACTCGCAGTCCCTCACTCACCCATCAAAATACGCATTTGCTTCTTGCCGAAGAGGCGGGAGAACAGCGAGGAGATGGTCAGGCCCATGGCGGCTGTGGCACTTACGATGGGCACAAGAAGGGCTCGGTGCCGTCCCCGGGCCTTCGCCTTTTACGCTCCGGATAAACAGGAGGAGAAGAGAGCTGAAGGGGAAAGCAGGCAGTGAGGATAACCGGTAGGCCAACGGTGTCTAAAAAGCGCAGACTAGAACTAGCCTGTTTGGCAAGTGGCGTCGCAGCGCACCGGTTCTAACCAGTGTATGGCCCTCAAGCGGCAGCCGCCGCTACTAGCGGCGGCCGGACGACTCCGACACCTGGAGTTCCTAGTCCTCGCCGTCCTATCCCCCCGCGCTTCCGGCGCTGCCTGACCACTGCGTCTGCGCACATCCGGGATTGTCCAGTTTTGCATACTGAGAGACGAAGTCCCATGATGCATCGCATCGCAGCCTCCAATCAGCCTCAAGAAGACACGCTTCCGCTCAGGGGGAATTATTCTAGGATTTGTAATTTTTGTGTTTTCCCGGAAGCCTGAGGAACGTTACCCATTAAGAAGTAGATGTATTTCTGCTCTCTCAGCATCTTCCTGTTTGCTGTTGAGCATGATAGGAATTCCACAATCTCACCAATGTACACGTTGCACACACGCCAACAAACTAGCCCTAAGTGGAAAAGTGAAAATGTCCTTTGCGACGAGTAACATACTTTTAATTAGAAGCCGTGCAAGGGGAGAGAGTAACAGCTTGTTAAGGTGAAAGGCCCCCTTGCCAGATCCTTCTAAAGATACCTGATCCTGTATCAAGACGGGAGAGCCGGAGATCGGGAATCCCTGCCTCTTGGGAGACTGGGATGGCAGGAGCCTAAATTCGACCGTCCCAAACTGAAAAAGGAAAAACGGGTGGTAGGGTGAAAAGTCCTGGGTTCAATCCCCAGTACTAGGCTGGTGTGACAAGGGAGGAGGAGCGAAAAATCAACAAGAAGCTTTATTTTCTTGACTCGTTTTTCTCCTAGAAGCTTAAAAGATTTAGTCTTCCGTTTCAAATGGAAAGCTTCCATTGATTTTCCCAATTACAAGATGAGGCCCAGGTGTGGTAAAAAAATTTTTTTACAGGTTTCCCATACATTTCACCACTTTTCAACTTCTATAGTTGCTGAAGTTTAGTACTCCAAACCAGTCTTAACGCTAGTCATGCCATCACCACCCTTTAGAGTTACGTTACAGTATTTTTCCTTGAATTGTATATTTGTAACCAAGCCAAATAGATCTTTTACACTGGCTAAAAGCATCATTATCTTTCTTCATACCTATGATTTTATGTTTAATGTTGTTATTGCCAATCTTCCTCGCACAGTTACCTCAAAGCACCAGAAAGGCAGAGAACTATTCCGTTTTTGAATTTTATTGAATTCCCTGGATTTGGCACATTGCTAAAAGTAAACATGGTTGAGTGATTAGAAAATGACCAAACTATGATAGTATAAACATACTGTGGGTTAAATCCTACCAGGAGTTAGAAAGGTATCAAACTATACTCACTAAACTTGAGGTCATAGTGTAAATAATATTAAAATATATTGTATCCCTCGCATTTTGAGACTATGTAGGGCAAACATTTTAAGTAAAATACAAGTGTATTAGTTGTATTTGCTTGATAAAACTGTGGAGGGTACAAAAGGGTCTTCCTAAAGCGTGAAGGAAATGGTTTGTGTAGAAGTAGTAAAAGGAAAGCTTATTGGTACTTTTAAAAATCAGCTGAGATACAATCTACTGTGTTAAAATCAACCAATTTTAACTACAATTTAATTTTAACTAATATATTCCATAGTGAATCCATCATCATTACATTAAACATCTCTATTGTCCCAGAAAGTTCCATTATGCTCCTCTGTACTTTCCTCATCCTTCACAGCTCTGACATAGTAAGTACAGTGCTTAACAAACTGATGCCCTGGGATTTAGTTCAGCAGCGTAAACACCTGCCTGGCAAACTCGAGGTTGTAAATTTGATTCCCAGTACCAAAGACACCAAAAAAACCAAAAACAAACAAATTGGCAGAACTTTGTCTAAATTCAAAACTACTGCTTTTCAAAAAAAAAAAAGGGATAAGAAAATTAAAACAAAACCAAAAACCAGTCACAAAGTGAAACAGGAAGGCTTGCAATATGTGTAGTTGAAAAAGTATGTGTATCTACAACACGGTGACCTTTTCAATGTGTTGGCTATGTCGATAAACTGGGACCCTGACGTATTGTTGGTGGAAAGTACTACAACCACTTTGAAAAACAATTTGTTAAGGGGCTGAGGATTTAGGTCTGTGGCTTGCCTGGCAAGCACAAGTTCATGAGTTCAACCCCCATTCCAAATAAAAATTTTTTAAAAATTTGGCAGCTTCTTAAACATTCACTTACATTATGACCCAGCCATCCTATTCACAACGCTCCAAGGTTTTTGCCCAAGAGAAAGGGTATTAGGCCTATTCAAAAATGTGTACCCAAGTATTCACAGGACCTTTGTATTTTCCAAAAGCGAGAAACAACTCGGATGACCATCAACAGGTATGTGGATGAAAACTATTATACTCACATAACAGAATGCTACTCAGCAATAAAATAAACTAGTGGTACACGCAAATTAATCTCAAGATAAACACGGTGAGTTAAAGAAGTCACACCAAAACATATTATATGACCCACTTGTATAAAACTCTAGAAAATACAAACATCAGTGACAGAAAAAATGAATGGTAGTTGGATAGGAAAACGAGAAGGCACCCAGAAAATGCAAGAGTAAGGAAACGTGAGGGGTGATGGTGTGATCATTATTTTAGCTGTGATGGATATATACTCAAAATTTCTAAACAGCAAACTGTACAGTTTAAATATGTTCAGTTTATGTCTATTCAATCTCAGTAAAGCTGTTTTTAAAAACACAGTTCATTGGGTGATATAATCAGAGGCTCTGACTAGAAAAACATGTTAAATATATTGATAAGCTCAACAAAAGCTTTCTATATAAATCTGTAGAGAATGGAAATACATTTTTGTAGAGTTCTTTAGATACCATGTAAATGTTTCTAGACTAGTAATACACCATTGTGATCTCCCTGAGTGATCTCTGATTTAACAAGTTACTTCTGAGACGTATCATGAATTTTCAGTTCAAATGGGAGAAAGTATTCACAGGTCAGTTTGATCTTCACCTCATGTGGCACATACCAATTTATTTTCCAGCTTCAGTACAAAATCTACTATTTCTACCTGTTTCCGGTTCTAGAGAAGTAGGTCCTACAAAAATACACAATGTCCAAACCAGTATTTACTCAAAATGGTATTTCGATAGGCAAGGCTAATGGGAAAAGAGGACAATACGGGAAAGAAAAACAGAGTAGTTCAGATATAACATTTAAAGTAGAAGAAAAATTCAAATAATAAACTTGCAGTCACTGTGGCTTTCCATGAAAGCAACCACAAAATAAGCCAAGAGCATACTCGAAAATGCAAGGTTTACACTGTAATGCTTACGTGTTTAGTAATCTTGATTTGTTATATAATATTCTTTATAATTTACTCATTACCCACCCGAATTTTTGTGCATTTTTTGACACAGGGTCTTGTATATAGTCTAAGCTGGGCTTAGTGATCCTCCTGCTTCAGCCTCCCAAGTGCTGAGATTATAGAGGTGCACCACCTACCCCGTTTTAGCTCACCTCAATTTTTTTTTTTGTCTTTTTTCATTTTTATCGGTACCAGGAATCAAACTCACGACTGCCTGCTTGCAAGGCAGGCGCTTATGCCACTGAGCTAAATCCCCAGCCCCTCAGTTTTTTTTTTTTTTTTTGCTCACCTCAATTTTAAAACTATTTAAAAAGAACATTTTAACTTTCAGATACTGTTTAAAATAGGCATTTGATAATATAGAATATTAAAAAATCAGTCCAAGCATATAAAAAGGTAGATACTATACTAATTGAAAACCATAAATCATAGTGCATAAAAGCTGGAGTTAGACTACTGACATCTGAATCCCGACTCCCTCCAGTGATGCGCTAATAAACATTTAACAACTCTTTTTTTTTTTTTTTGTCTCTTTCGTTTTTATCAGTACCAGGGATCGAACTCACAACTGCCTGCTTGCAAGGCAGGCACTTATGCCACTGAGCTAAATCCCCAGCCCCTAACAACCCATTCTTTAGAAAAGAATCTCTTGCTCACAGCATTGGCCAGCTTCTACTGTAGGTGATTTCAACCTACCAACCTGAGGTAACTGAAGGCAGAACTGGGAAGATATATGCAGTTAGCTCTCCTGAACCAATGCAAGAGCACCCGGTACACTTCTTGCTTACTACTTAGCAGTGAGGTGAACCAAGGCAAGCCACGCACCTTCTAAGCCACAGCTGTTGCATAAGGCAGCTCATAATGCCTGCCAGTGAACTGTGAAGATTAAGGGAGTTTATCTGTATAAAGCACCTATACACTCACTGCCTGGTATGACACATGACCTAGATAAATTAGCTCTTTTTATTAGGTATAAAGGAGGAGATGTGGGTATTCAACCTCTAAACATTATTTTTACTTTCAACAGCTGTTAGTTATCACACAAACACAATTTTCTAACCTCTTCACAAGCACCTGCTAGATGGGCCCCAATGGGAGCCTGTGGGCTGGCTAGGAACAACCAGGAAGGAAGCTATGCCCACCCTCCCATCCAGGAACCAACTGATTTGAAGGAACTGTACTATTTGAATGACTTTACAAGACTAAAGCTAGTAGTCTGAGCAACTATTTAGGGAATACCAATATGCAACATAGTTAACTATGATAGATTTCCTATTGTCTTATTTATCACAGTTTCATTTTGCTTGTTGTTTTACTCCCTTTAAAATAAAAACACTAAATAAAAAATTAGAAAAAAAAAAAAGACCTTTTAGATGGGATGCCTCCAATTTTGGGGGACAATTCTTCCACCGTGTCTTGAACCAACCATCAAAATTTGGAGACTGCAGAAAATGCCTATAAAAAGAAAGCTTATACCAGCAGCATCATGTACACCTGTAATCCCAGAACTGAGAAGGCAGAGAGGTATGAAGGTCACCGAGTGTTCAAGGCCAGCCTGAATTACACAGCAAGTCCCTAACTCAAGCAAAACAAAACCAAAAAAAGAAAAAAAAAAAAAAAAAAAAAAACCAAAACAACAAAGCCAAAACCGTAAAAAAGCAAAGTGTATCATTTATTTTCCCTCAATAGCTTTCTTACCAATAGCTTGGAAAACCATGATAAACAATAGAATTTTTCAAAAAGAATCTACAACTTTAAGGCTACTATTCTTTTTAAATAAATATTTGCAAATGGGTGGAAA